GCACACACCCCGTAGAGATACCAGAAGATCACAAAGCGCCAAACTACCCATTGTCGAGTTTTGCGGACCTTTCCACAGTTTACACTGCAAAAAACGCCCAGCCTGTAACAATGTTGTTGAAAACAGACGTGAACAATATTTTGCTGCCCATATTGTTCCTAGTTGTTAACAATATTGTTCAGCATTGTTCAGCCTGAACAACATTGTTAACAACCAGGAACAATATGGGCAGCAAAATATTGTTCAAGCCTGTTTTCATCAACATTGTTACAGGCTGGGCGTTTTTTGCAGTGTAGTGTACATTTTAGAACTGTGCACTTTTTTATATACCCTGTAAAAGTGTATGTAAATAAAGTATATTTCAAACGTAGTCCTCGAGTTCTTGAACTGCTAATTAACTTACTTGCCCAACTACCACCACGGTTGTATTATTGGTAGTTTGCGAAGAAAACCCGGCAGGTTGCTGAACATATCCTTGTCCTTGAGGTGGATACCCAGGTTGTTGAGGTGGATATCCAGGCTGTTGTGGTGGATACCCAGGCTGTTTTTGTGGGGGATACCCAGGCTGTTGTTGTGGTGGATATCCAGGCTGTTGTTGCGGGGGATATCCAGGCTGTTGTTGTGGGGGATATCCAGGCTGTTGTTGTGGGGGATAGGGGGCAGGTTGTGGTGGGTAACCGGTGTAGGGTGGTGGCTGTTCCATCTGATCTAATATATAATAGACATAATAATGATAAAATCTTATTCAAAGTGTCTAATGTATTTAGCTATAGGGTTGGGCGATATTAAAAAAATCATCTCACGATTATTGTCAAGGAAATTATCACGATATTCGATAATATCGCGATAAATGCAACAAAAACAATGACCACATTTTTTCAATTTTAATTAGTATCAAAGCATATAGTAAGCTTACATATAAGATAATATGAAGGCTTTTTTAGTCTATTAATATAATAACTGTCCATGCAGTGTCTACTGTGTCGCCGCTGGCACAATGCCGTGGTCACACAGCGCAGGCAATCAGCAGATTAATACATAAATATCAGTTAGCTTTTGTATCGTATTAAATTCGTATTTAATTCAGGAAATAGTTTTAATTCTTTTAAAAACTATATTTTCTAGCAATTGAATGATCTTTTTACGATTATATAACAGCTATATGCACATGCGAAGCAATATCACGATAGTCATTGAGCATGACGATAATTTCGATATATCGTCCCTCAAGTTTCTACTTTCGATACGATAATCGCGATTGAAAATATCGCGATAAATCAAAATATCGAAATATCGCCCAACCCTATTTAGCTATCAGAAAACTAATGGGTGATTCCAGGTGTAGACTAAATTTTGATCAAGGCAAGAAGAACGAAATCCAACACCACAGCTAGAAAGATCGTCTTAGAATGAGTAAAACTGCAAACTGAGATTGGTTGCTAAATGAAGAAAATATAGCCCTGTGAAATTCGCAAATTTTGTATAAATTTATATTACGCGCGGTAAAAATAACCACTTTTGACTCAAAAATGGTTATATAAAACTATTGGCCGGTTGTATAAAATTCTTACAGGTAAACTACGTGAAGCGTTCCTCTTTTGAGTGTCTAAATTGATTGCAATTTTCCTCATTACTTTTGCAATTTAAAAAACTCCTTTGCAAATCCTTTGAGGAAATTTGCAATGTTGCTGACAGCCAATTAAATTTTCCTCAGTTCCTGTTAGAAGTTCTTAACTTCCTGTTACAATTAAGTTCCTAACTTCCTGTTCTGTTCTGGGCGTTGCAATTGGCTAACAAAAATAATCGACCAATAACAACGCTTGGAACAGAACAGGAAGTTAGGAAATTAAAACAGGAAGTTAGGAAACTTTAAAATGAAGTTTGTTTGCATTGGAATATTGCAACAGTCGACAGGAACATTAATTGCAAATTCCCTCGAAGGATTTGCAAAGAGTTTTTCAAATTTGCAAAGCTAATGAGGAAAATTCCAAATGAGTTATAAAGTCAAAAGAGGAACGCTTCACGTAGTTTACTAGTCTCCTATGCAGACCTACTTTAGCGGGTTTAGGCCCGCCACGTACGGTCTGCTTACTTTCGCTAGCAATTCGCCTTCCCATTGTATTCCATTAGCCAATAGCATTCAAATGCACAAGACACGCCCACTTTATGTCAACTGTAAAGTGTAAACAAGGAGCGTGCGATAATCGAATAATAATACGGTATATACGTATTTAAATGGCCTTAAATGTGAACAGATCGAGTTTTCTGATCAATAGCAGTCGAAGTAGAAAATATTGAATATTTTTCCAACGAATGTACGCGATAGGTCGAAGGCTTAAATGTATATAAAGCTATTCACTGGTAACACTTGTTTTGAACTTGACGCGACTGCGTGACGGCATGTATTATATTCAATATATACTATTAACAATATATATATCATTAATAATTCATGAAGAAAACACAAAAGAAATCATGGGCTGAAGGAGTCTGTATATGTGATACGGATTCATGTTGATTTACATAAACTTTATCTTTGATTTTCTCGGCTTAGACAACGTTAATTTTTAAAATTACTTCGCCAATGAACTCATAAGATGAGTCGTTTTCGGCTCGAGTTTGTATATCCGATACAACACGGCCGCTCATGTTGTAAATAGTACTAAGTTTCCGAACGTTCAATATCAGAGCGACTTTTGTAATTACGATTTTATTAAACTTTATAAACTGGCTAGTCATATACAAACTTAGAAACCGAAATATGCAATGAATAAATTCAGTATTTTATATAGGCTGAATTCTGTAGTCTTCAATTAGTATTTATAAATCTATTATCTACACCCGCAGTAATGTACACTGTAACTTTAAAACTTTGTCTTGACGTCTTTGTCCAGTACATTACCCGTGTTACAGTAACACCTGCAAACGCTTGTAAAGTAATCAAAACATTGCGAAATATTTTAGGTGATACAGTATTGTTCGATTTTTCTACACTGTCTGTTCAAAACAATATAGCTCGACAAATTCTAACAGTTTTACAATTGTTCCATATTGTAAATTTGTAGACTGGTATATCGGTATAACAAATATATCTCTCAGCTCTCGCATATATAATCGGTTTAAGATATGAATTCGTACAAATGAATATATAAAATGTTCAAGATTTAATAAATGTTTTGAAACGTTTAACGACCCAAGCCTCAAGGTCAAAGCCAAAGGTCAAGCCCCACAATTTTCGTGGGTAAAGCTGTGATTGGCTAATTTTGAGGAAAGGAATTCTTGGCCAAAGTAAGCATACCTTACGTGAGGGCTCAGCCCGCTAAGTAGGTATGCGTAGGAGACTAGTAGTTTACCTGTAACAACTTTTTAACTACTCGTTTCTTAGTAAATGGTAGTTAACAATTCTTAAAGGGGCCTGATCAACCACAATGCTATGCGCGCTTTTGTTTACGTTTTTCAGTTACTTTCCTCAATAATTGCCGCCATTTTTGAGGGCACAAAAATGGCTGCCTCTGGCCCACAACGTAAAAGCAACGTAAACAAACGCACGCATTGCATTGTGGTTGATTATAACCCATTTGAAGGCCTGATTCCACGGGCGTTTTCTTCGGCGAAATGCGAACAATTTCGCGCGAAATGAATTCGGTACATGCACAGTGAAGATAAATTTAGGTTTCGCGAGAAAAAAAATTCGCCTCACCTTCTCATTTCACCTTGAGAGCCTGCTCGCAGGCTAGTTTCACCAGTGAGTAGAAGCCGGTTCTATTTTAATACTGCGAAAGCGGAAAAAGTGGCCAAATTCAATAGAATCGCTCATGTGCAACCATCCGTATTTCCCAGACACAATTTCTCGCGAAGAATTTTGCCGTCGTGGAATCAGGCCTTTGAGATTGGTTAACTTTTCCACGAACTATAGTTAACTTTAACTACTTTTTATACGGCCCCAGCCCCAGGTAGTTCTCTTATACCGCAGCTGTTCACGTACTGTACACTATAAAAGTTTCTTTGTTGGTGTAATGTACTCAGGTGAATATGATGCTTGTGATGTTACTCTGCTCTGAGTGTATGTCCACACCGG